CACCTACACATTTTTTACCTTGCATTCGTGGAGAACAAAGAAATCAGCAGCAGACTCGTGCTGAAAATACTGACAGTAGCCTCTTCATTTTTATGTTGTTGGAAAAGAATCCTGTGTACGATTATTATTATTATTATTATTATTATTACAGGCTAAGATTAGAGCATTTATAGTTGTTTTATTATAAAAAAACAAGCATGACAATAGTTTTTGAATAGGTAAGACAGCTCTTGAGTCAACCTCTAAAGTTTATCTGTCACCTAATCACGTTGAAGGCGGCTACTTAATCTGGCCATATACTGTGCAAACTGGAGAAAATTAATTTTGTGGGTTGCCCTTGCCGCCCCTTCCTGTCCAACATCTTTCAATTGAAAAATCAAAGGAGCTGGGTGGAAAATTGTTGGCTGAACAGAAGCTGCAACTAATTTGGGTTTTCTGATGGCCACCGCCACCAGCAGGGCAATTCGTCCATCCCCACTGTTAGTCTGCAGGCTGAACAAAAAAGAAAATGTGTCAGTGTATAGCCAACTTTAGGAATTCCTTTAACTAGGAATTAACGATAACGCACATGAACCTAATGTATGACTGACGTTCTGTATGAATACCCAACAAGCATTACTTCTGCTGTTGCTACGGCAGGTTAGAGCATGAATGGATAGCAATGACTGCCTGGTTGCTAGAAGGGAAACAGACATTTCTTCTATCAGACACTTTATGCTTTACATAGTTTAGTCACATACCCAGCCCCCTTCAGATGTGTTTCCTTTCACTTATCCCTACATCACTACTGTGTAATGAAGTAACGTAGGTGTCATTGCAAGAAACCAGAGAGTGCAGAAGGGCACCAGGCATCCAAGACTCCTGGAAGTGTTGGGTACAGGAGACACTTCAGGTGTTGGGAGAGTGCATGTGATCAGCACTGGACCAATCTGCACTGTCCAGACAGAGGGTCAAGGGTCCTGCAGCCTCATAGGACAGTGATAGGAGAATTAAAAAACTCTTCCTACAAGCTTTAACCAGTGCTCTGCTGGACACTGACAGAAGTCACAAGACTGCTATACACTGCTGATGAGAAAAGGTATTTAGCAGTTTATATTTACTAAAATAATTTCATTTCCATGTTCTGTGTACTGTAGAAGACCAGATATAATAAATGCAGTGTCCTAAATGTGCCCCAGGGAAATGCACTAAAACCGCGCAAGGTCAGACACACCTTTATCACTTAAAGACTAGATTTACATGTAGCATGGTATCTGTATATCAAGGTGACAGGGTCTCTTTAATTTGGTATTTCATAATGAGTCTACAAGTCATTACTAAATCCCAACATTCACAAAGAGAACTCTAATTTGTGAGTGTTTAATATGTTCCAAGGTACATGGTAATATCTTGACAATTAGAGACATCTCTGAAGTGGTAGAAGGCAATACCGTATGCTGGATTGTGATTTTGGCTGTACAATGGTAGTTTATACAGTGTGTAATGGTCAGCACAGTTCCACTCAATGTTCACCTTGCAGGATGGGGAGAATGCATTTACATAATGACTATCTAGTATAAAAAGTGATAGCTCAGAATAGAAATGCACCGATCAACAAACAAAACTCTTTTCTGCCGAAAGTCATTAGGGTTTGTTTACTAAAAGCAAATAGGCTGTTTATGATTTTTTCCCTCATTTAGTGAATGTAGTAAAAATTCACTTTGTGAAAAATACACCTTAATGGGCAAGGAACATTTTAGAAAACTTTGTTTACTTGCCTATGATTAGATGATGGGAGTCAGTGGAGCTTAACATTCATTAATTCTTTTACAAAGTAAACAGCCTGTTTGCCTTTAGCAAATCAACCCAGTTAAGTTTAACATACAGACTTGATTCAGAAAGGAAGAACAAAACACATCTTAATTTCTTGTTAATACATGTATGTGCATACGCTCCAACAGAGATACACAGACTAAAATGTTCTTTTGCTTACTCTGCAAGGCAGTACAAAGAACCATGAAAATTGCATCAACCCATAGCAACCAATCTGTTCACAATTCATCAGTTTAGAGACGCCAGCCCACAAAATAATGATATGGGTTGTTGCACATAAAACATTACTTCATATTGGCTTACTACATAAACCCACACATGGTATTTCTTGAATTAATGGATAGTGCTATGATTTTGTGTTTATATAATGTTTTTGGGCCAAGTTGCTAATATAACTGCATCTATAAGACAAAGGTTTTCAAAAACCACCCAGGACTTTTACATTTATGTAGTTCACTATACTTAAGATATGGTTCTTTTGCCTTTAATTGGAAATAGCCTAAAGTATATTTAAAGTCAAAACTTCTTATCTTGATCATATAGTACAGGACAAAGAAATAGTTTAAAGTACTGTGTATCTAAATCCAAACCTTTTTTCCATTTTAATAGATTAGATAACAGTTAAAACCACTTTCAGTTTTTTGGCATCTGTGTTCCATTGGGGCGATTTCCCTTCGCTTCTATCCTATACAGTACATACATTTACAAGGATGTAAGAGGAGATCTCTTCAAGGTTAGGGAAATCTCTTAGACAGCTGTCACTGGAACAAGTGGCCTCTTTGGAAGATTTCCCTTCTGTACCTTTGTTTGGTAACAGCTCGCATTTTTGAATTTCTCATCACTTTCAGTATCAGTGACCGTGGTACAGGTACACAAGGATAAATGGACAGGGTGAATCTGTGTAGCAAGGGCACGGACAGCAAGTGTTTTAATTTGACACTACTGTATACAAAACTTTAAAAATTACTTAAGCTACACTTTTAAGTTTTACTAAACCCATAACAGTAAAATTAGACTTTATATGCAGTAAAGCATGCTTGTTATACTCGCTATGGAACCTAATGGGTTAATCCACATTGTGTAAAAAGGTTGTTTAATCTTGTCTTCTCTGATCCTCCCCTTCTTCCACTGCCCCCAATCAATCTGCTGATAGTACAGAATTCTAGGCGTCACTCTGCACATGCCCAGTTTAGTGTGTGGCTAGAGCATTTTTTCTTTTTCTTTGGGGGAGTGCATGTGATCAGCACTGGGCCAAAGAAAAGGCATTTAGTAGTTTATATTTACTAAAGTCATTTAATTTCCATGTTCTGGGTACTGTGGGAGATCAGATATAGTGAGTGCAAGGTCCTGGGTTTAGTAATTCATCCCCGTTATATACATAAGTGAATACATGGTTAAGCCATCATGCATTATTTAATAATAAATTGTAAAGAGCTGTGAACAGCTAATCAGTTCTGATTAAACTAATTACATGCAAATGCTAAAAACTGATATCTAATTAGTTGCTATGAGCTTTGGCAAATCTTTGTCCTTTGCACTTGGTTTATTTAGGAAGGCATTAAAAAGATCACTAATGGCATTAAAATACAGTAGCTCATATAATTTTACCATTTAGCAGTTGAGAACATTTGAAACAAAGATACATTCTAAAAAGTTGCTTTGGGCATTTGACATTTTTTTTTAGCACTGGAAGCCAGATGGAGTTGTTTGGCAAAAATATGTTCTATCATTTTGTAAAGTGCTGAGCAAACTGTTGGCGCTATATAAATCCTGTATAATAATAATAATATCCACATGCCTCTACTATTTATATAAACCTAAATTTTAAAGTAAAATTAGGTGTCCTTTCATTCTGGTTACAGTGGCCAGTTATTCATATGGACCTGTTCGGAAGCTCCATATAAGTCTATGAGCAGTTGGCAAAATTTGGAAAAAACTTTAAAGGCCTTGGATGTCACAAAAGTGACGTCTGTCCCATTCTGCAATGTTTCAGCAGGGGATCTGTTCACAGATCCCTTTTTAAACTGAGTGGACAAAGTCCACATAAAAGAACCTTAACACTTAACTGTTTCGGCTCAGAATCCGCACCGCACACTGGCACCTTAATATTACCCCTAACTTAACTCTAAAACTTACTAACACCTAACCTGACTTTAATTTATAAATCAATCCTTCCTCTAAATTTAACCCTTAATTTAAAGCGTATCTAAACCCAAGAAGAGAAATTGCTAGTATTGCAGCTTGCCAGTTCCTAGTCGTGGTGGCTTCATTAGTTTTCTTTTTCTTTATTTTAAGTTGATATTCTTGCCATTAAGTCACTTTCTGTTATAGGATGACAACTGTACTGAGTAGCATTGTCACCTTAGGACTGGGAGTGTGTTAGGACTACATAACACCTCCCTCAGAGAGCAGGGGATAATGCTAACTGATAACAGTCCAGAGGCAAAGAGTACAGGAAGATATCAGCTCACAAGAATTCTGTGATACAGCTACACAGATAAAATTAAACACTTTCAATGGTATAACAGACCAAAATGGAGCAAATAAGAGAAATTTATTGTTAAAATTTACATACACTTTAAACAATAAAAAGCCCTTAAACCTTCATATTAAACCTCCATAACAGTGAAACTTAACCCTTTAAGTCCAAAACCTAACACTTAACTTATCTATGACCGTAAAGCTAGTCCTTCTCTGTTGTAATCCTTTTGCTAATATATACCTACAACTGTATGCTTACTTTATCTATGCTGATAGTTTCCTGTATCAGTCACAGTCCCTGCACCAAGATGCCAGACTAAATTATTTGTATGTTATCTCTTTTCTTAGTAAATAAACACATACATTCCTATGTAATCTGTTCAGAGTACACTGTTCTAAAGTAAATTGGAGTAACTGTAGTTTATATTGCAAGTTGGAGGGATATACATTTTGCAGCATTTTTGAATATCATTATGTATTTTACATTCATATAATAGTATGTTCATATGTAAGTTGTGAAATCATATAGAAATAAAATTGCACACATCATTGATAGGCTTTTACAAATTTTGTAAGAGATAAGGAAATTAATAAAAAATAATTACATTAAAAAATCAAGCTTACTGAGAAAAGGGCAGTTGTTTTACAACACAGCACACCATTGTATAATGACATAACTATGTTTTATGTTAAATCATTTTTAAAGGCTATTTACTACTTGTCCTTCTCTGTTCCATACCATTAGGCAAGAACCCAGCAATAATGGGCACTGGCCAGATGAGGGCAGCAACACTCCAAACAATGATAACCAGAGTCATGAAACAGGCTACCAAAGTGGACTCAATAGGCTTCCGATTCATTCTCCAGCCCTGTTCACCTCTCAGCTCCTCTAAACTGAAGTCCAGGCAGCAGAAATTCAGTGATTCTCCTAACAGCGAATTTTGAGGATCTGTTGAAGTTGAAGAAATGAAAGAAAAGGTAGAAGATGCAGCAGAAGAAGAAGCATGCTGGTGCCTCAGGTGACCACTCCTCCTGCTTCTTGACCATCCACATCCTATGCAAAGGCGAAATTCCTGTTGAGCACCGGAAACCCCTAGATGCTCAATAACAACTGGGGATACCACCCGGTTATAGGCTGCTGCGAAAAATGCTCTGCCATGATTATTGGTAGAAAAGAGCAACAGGTCGCACTGGAAGCCCAATTGACGCCCCCAGCGGACCAGTAGAGAGGTGAGCATTAGCCTCTGAACACTGATATTGCAGTGCACTGACCCATGTTGTTGAGAATGGGAGGCATGGAACTCCTGATGGGTTTGAGGAGACAGGATCAAAGTCTCTTTGTTGCTCTCCCAGGTATTACTGGCAGAAGGTAGAGGAGAAGGAGAGGAAGAAGGTGGGATCTTGGTATGTCCTGATTGGGTTCCCCTAAGCTCTTCGCCACTCTCCGCAACTGTTGTCCTCTTTTCAGTTTGTAAGTCAAACTCCAGATTAGCCAAGGACCTGCTTGAAGAATTAATAGGGAGTAAGAAGATGTCTTCTTCAGTGTGTCCCTCCTGACTCCATCCTTCTGTTGGTGGCTGGATACAGATAGCCAACAAAGCCACTAGCCCCTGGAGCAGGCTGCTTGGAGGGCACAGACGCAGCACCCTCATTGCACAGGATGTTAGAGAGGAGGCTGCATGGTTAGCTGGAAAGAGACAGTGCTTGCACAAAGACTGAAACTCACACAGGCGTGGAAAAGGATGCTAGTAACTGAGATCGCTCCACACTGCCTCCAAGTCATCCTCCCTCTGCTTTACCCTCCTCCTCTTTCTTCTTCTCACAGCTTTTGATTTAGATGATTAGAGAATTGCACAATGATCTTTATCAATCTCTTTTATTTTTTAGGTTTCCAGAGGAGCAAGTAGTGATGGCCCCTGCCTAACAAATGCATTGCAACACTTACAGCCCTCTGAACAGTGGGGATGTTTTTACCTAAGATCCTCTGAAAGAAAAAAGCAGCAGGTGCTAGCTTAGATTTTGTTATAGTTCTCAAAGTAAAGAAAAAAAAGTAACAGCGGCAGATCGAAGATTTGTAGAAGAAATAACAACCGCATTTAGAGTTTTCTACATTTCTAGCTTAATGTGATATCATTTTGGCTCTGACATTTTAGGATTAACAGAGTTTGTAAATCAAAAATAACAAATTCCATACTTTTGTAAGGACAAAAGATCTGGATGGCTGAGTGGCAGCATATTTAGTTAAAGGTATGTAATTCTTAACAATTAACTCTTATTTGGTCCTCTTTTGTATGTTAAATAAACCATTGAAAGTGTTTTGTTATATTAATTTAATGAGTGCAAAAATACCTGCTTATTGTGCCAGAAATAATGTCATCTGATAACTGCAAGTGCAGACAGAGTACACAACGCAAATTTATCAGTTAAATTGTTACCAGCTATTTCTGAGGACTACAGAACCCCTCCTCTCCCTTTTATTTGAAGAAGACAGCATAAGGCTTCTGCAGTCTTTTCCTAAGAGGCAATGCTGCTTCTCCATAGATATTGTATGGAGCATTGGCACCCTAGGACAGGGAGTTACTGGCAGGACCACCAGGTGAAAATAAAAGGGGGACAAAAAAAGAAAAAACTAATGCAGCCACCACATCTCAGGACTAGTAAGCTTATTACACTTTTGCTCTTGGGTTTACTTAGGTATACTTTAGCAAGTAATTGTTCACAACCTAACAGTTGCGCTCAGTGGTGCATTGCATGATAACCGCATTTCAGAACAAGGCAGTTTTATCATGGTTCAATTCAAATCTACGTGATTATAAGTATTGCAGATTTAAAGCAGGCTCCTAACTCCTGCATGTAGTAGTTTGGATAAATTTACTTAGAGTACAATGACAGGTGTCCTTCCAGGAAATGAAAGGAAATCTTTCCATTGCGGCAGGACAGTTGCTGAAATAAGAACCTGACTGTATCCTTATTTTTTCTTTTGTTTACTTGTTGTTTGTGTCTAAATTGGAGACACCCCCCCCCCCCCCCCCACTCACTTCCTGGATAGGGAAAGAACGATTACCACTCTCTTCAAGGAAACACCTACAGAATGTTGAAATCTTCCACTCTCTATTGTAAACCTTTTCTAGTTCTTATTCCCATAGGAGCCTCTGGAAATTTGCCCAGGTTCTTCCCAAATGGATAGCTCCGCAGCCAGGCACATGAACACAGTCACTCGTTTCCTCAATAACCAGTCTAGGGGTGTTGTTTTTGTTTTTATTTTTGGAGAACTTGGATAGGGATGAGGGAGCTGAGTGGGGATACTCCAAAAACAGGAACTATGTACAAATGGAGGGCAGTGAACTCTTTTTGTAAGGCTGAAGCAGAAGTCCTTGCATATAGCAAACTGTGGACTTGGCTTGTAGTAGAACAGTAAAAGCACTCAGGCTTCCTTCTTCAGAGTAACAAGATCAGTAAAGCACACAGGCTTCTTTCTTTAGAGCAAACAAGAGCAGAGTCCTTTCAAGATAACTAGGCAGACTAAGCTCTTCAGCCGATGTCTCCTTTAACAAACACACACAGCTGATGCTCTAGCATCAGAGGGGTAGGGTGGCAGCAGGCCAAAAGGTCTCTAAGGTCTCTCAGCAGTCTGTACTCATGAAAGATCCAGGACAACTGGTTGCCTCCTTCCAACTTCCAAGCACCACTTTCCTCTAGTGATACTAGACTAGATCCTCAGCAGACAGGCCCTCAGTCAGCTCTCAGTAATTTCAACATCCAGGCTCACAGGTAGCCCACCTGAGGCTTCTCAAACTGTAAGCACATGGCAGGATAGCCCAGGGAGCAAATGGCTCCCCCCAGGCTGTGTTTCTCTCCTACTGGAAAAGACCCAGAGCTGATTGTGTTCAGAGAATATATACAGTTACCCAGCATACCATCAGGGCACAGCTCCCTGGGATTGACTAAGGCTGTATGAATATTCAGGCTGCCATCTGCATAGCCCCACACCTATATTCCAGAAGGTTCTACTGATTTCTGGAAAACAGAATGAGTTACCAGACTGACAGCAACTGAGAACACTGAACAAACCTAACTAATCAATTGAAGCCACACTGAATGCAGCAAGGCAAGCTAAATTTACCTGAAAAAATATACACAGTTCCACTGAACACAGTGAGCCAGCATTATATTTAAGTAATCATAGCACCTATCTAGGAGGGTGCTAATCATTTCTAAAGTAATAACCGTGCTAAAGGTACCCATGAATACCTTCTGACAATAGGCCCCACCTTCAGTGTTTAAAGCGAAACTAAACCCATAAATGTAACGGTTTCCCAAAACAGTTACATTCATGGCAAGCCACAGATGCTAATTGTCATGGTTTCTTGTACTCTCAACTAATCTGTCAAGCCAACATGGATGGTGTCAAAACTGATCATACACTCATTAGCCACTTTATTAGGTACACTTGTTCAATTGCTTGGTAACACAAATTGCTAATCAGCCAATCACATGGAAGCAACTCAGTACATTTAGACATCTAGACATGGGGAAGACAGCTTGTTGAAGTTCAAACTGAGCATCAGAATGGGGAAGAAAGGGAATTTAAGTGACTTTGAACGTGGCATGGTTGTTGGTGCCAGATGGGGTGGTCTGAGTATTTAAAAAACTGTTGATCTACTGGGATTTTCAAGCACCACCATCTCTAGGGTTTACAGAGAATGGTCCTAAAAAGAGATGATATCCAGTGAGCGGCAGTTGTGTGGACGAAAATTCCTTGTTGATGTCAGAGGAGAATGGACAAACTGGTTCAGCTGCAACATTCAGATGGTAGGGTCAGAAGTTGGTGTAAACAACATTAAAGCATGGAACCATCCTACCTTGTATCAACGGTTTAGGCTTGTGGTGGTGTAATGGTGTGGGAAATATTTTCTTGGCACTAGCAAGGTGTGCCTAATAAAGTGGCCGGTATGTGTATGTGCAGCACCATGGTAGCTGCAGATCAGACAAAGGCTAAGATGCCAGCTTCCTTGGCTGTAAAGAATAGGGGGGTTTAGTCCTGCTTTAACTACTAAATGCCAGAACGTCAGTGAGCAATAGAGTTTCTGGCATTTGACAGCTGAACAGCAAAGGGCAAAGCATAATCTATCCTTAAGGAGAAATGAGGGCTCGATGAGGCACTGCTTGTAACAGTGAGGCATGAGGCACTGCATGTAAGAGAGTGGTAGGAATAATCTAGAATCTTGAAACACAGAGACATAGAGAGGAACCGGGGCACAATGACCAGGATAAGTAGGAGAGACAGATCCAGCAAATCACGCAAGCGTTGCTTTTCCTATCAACAGGAAAGGAACACAGGACTAGCACACTATACAGTAATGCACATTTTATTAAAGAGATGTAGAAAAGTCATATAAAATGACAGTGTGCATGCTATGAATAGCAAAAATAACATATAGCAGTTAAGTACAAGTGAAATGGTACGTTTTACAAAGTGCATACAATACATTAGACAGCAGATTATGTTAGAAGAGGCACCCAGATCACAGATCGAGGGGTGAAATCTCAGTAAGATCATATGTCTGTGATCTGGGTGCATCTTCTAGAGTAATGTGCTCAGACCAAAGGGGAAACAGATTCCGTAGCACACTTAGCCCTAGCTAGCCTGAAAAAAAAAACCCAAATTGACCCTATCTAACAATTCATGCTAAAAACAGAGGGTTTTGTTTACACACATTTGCAAATATACAGTATGATTAAGCCGCAGTGCCTAAATCAAGGCTCCTTCGTGTACTGCGATCCTAACTATAACTTTCAGAGTCATCCTTTCTTAAAGGATCCCCGCATCAAATTCAATCAACTGTACAAAAAAGTGGCAACCACCCCAACCTATAACTAGCCTTTGAAGTAAGGTGCACATGAAAGACTCTGAAAATTACAGAGTTAGGACTGCGATACACAGAGGATCCTTGATGTAGGCCCCGTGGCTTACACATACTGTATATTTGCATATACTGTGCTGGATTCAGCAAGAGGAGACTGTTGCTGTTCCCTATGCTAAGCAAGCTAATAGTAGCAGCACGTGTTTGGTAAGAAGAGACTGTGACCTGCTGCCCTGGATTAAGCAAACTAGTAGACTACTAGTTTGCTTAATCCAGGGCAGCAGACCACTGTCTCTTCTTACCAAACAAGTTTTGCTACTACTAGCTTGCTTAACCTCTTTCTAGTCAGTGCTACCCTATCAGTAGAGCCCAACTAGTGCCCAACAGTGCAGCCTCATCTGTGCGCATCAGTGCATCCTCACCAGTGCTGCCTATCAATGGCACCTCAACAGTGCAGTCTTGTCAGTGCAGCACCACTGGTGCCCATTATTGCAGCTCCACCAGTGCCCATCAGTGCGGCCTGATCAGTGCATATCAGTGAAAAAGAAAAATTTCATAACAGAAACTAAGAAAAACATTTTTTGTTTTCAACATTTTCTCTTTTTTTTTTTCATTTGTTTGGCAAAAAAAAATAAAAACCCAGTGGTGATTAAATACCACCAAAAGAAAGCTCTATTTGTGTGAAATAAAATGATAAAAATTGAATTTGGGTACAGTTTTGCATAACCAAGCAAATGTCATTTAAAATGTGACAGTGCTGAAAGCTGAAAATTGGATTGTGCAGGAAG